TTGCACAGTATCACACGCATTTGAAGGCGTTTTATATTGGTCCGACCGCGACCTGCGAAGAGTTGTCTTAGTTTGTTGACTATGAGCGATGTTTCAGGTGCACACGTGAAATGCAAAATAACGAAGAACCTAAAATGATATGTTGGGTTGAAATGAGTTTTTCAACTTTATTTTAAACAAATGTTGAAAGTCTGAATTTATTATGCCGAGAAGTTTTACTACTTTTATCACTAAGAGAGGAGAGGATGGTTGTGGGTAAGTGATGGACAATTTTTACGGGGGTCCGACGCAACGTTAAGAGTACGTTATAAGGGGTGAGAATTGTGCAAAACCGCAAGTTTAGCGCTACTTTTTTAGGGATAGTCCATTTATGCTCGATTTGGAGGCGTTAACTCATGAGAAATGTCTGTTTAAGATGAAGTTGCTCTAAGACACCTCACGACCGAGAACTGTGACTTCTCAAAAATCCGATTTTCAGAGTTATGTGTTTCATAAACGCCTCCTCATCGACTCTAACTTCAGATTCGGAGACACGAAGAAAATTCGAAGGCTGCGTAAGAGCAAGTCGCTAAGTCGCTTGCCGCAGTTACTGCGTAGACATTCGTAAATTGGGGCTTAAGTCAAGCTTGTTTGAATTGTCTTGCGGTGCTTAAGTATTTTAAGCGTGCAAGAGGGGCTCAGCAAAGCAATACCGGGCTTATACCGTCGCCCTACTCATAGAAAGGTCTCCCTCCCGCCGCGGGATGAGCGCTGTTATCGCTAAAATTCACGCTTTCTAGGGCTTTCTAGAGACTGGAGTTGAGTTGTTTAGTCACGAGGGAGACGATACATTTAAAAGCGCGGCCTCCGTCATCCGGCTAGCGGATTAACGTCCAGGAGTTGTTGGCGCTCCGCGGGCTATTCATTTCCCTCGGACAAATCCCAAGACATGGCTCTCGGCACTTGGAGTTTCAACAGGCTTTATCCCCGCTAGCTTATTACGTTGTAATTAAATGGTCGTTTTCCGAATGAAATATGTGATGACTTCAGGCAAAATGACCCTAAGATGGAAAATAAATAAAATTAGAAGTCTGTACCGCAGCTCACAGGGGTTAATGGACCACAAATTACGAATTTAAGCATTCTAATATCCTCACCTTCAGGCCGGGGGTATCACAAGCGCCATGCGATGTTTAAAAATTTCCGTCGTAATTTTCTTTTTTACAGATAAATTGTTGGTTGAATCTCTTTGAATCTTTACTAAATTTTATCGGCAGCACAAAAAAAAATGCAGTGAAATTTTCGGGCAGCTTTGTAGATTAATTCTGGTAGAGCAATTTAAATGAGTTAGGTTCCAACCTAAGAATACAACTATATCAACTTCGGTGTGTTGCACAGTATCACACGCATTTGAAGGCGTTTTATATTGATCCTTATCCATCTTGTTTCTGGTACAGCAATTCACTTGAGTTAGGTTCCAACCTAAGAATACAACTATATCAACTTCAGTGTGTTGCTCAGTATCACACGCATTTGAAGGCGTTTTAAGAATACAACTTATATTAAGAATACAACTATATTGGTCCTACCGCGACCTGCGGAGAGTTGAGTCTTAGTGTGTTAACTATGAGCGATGTTTCAGGTGCATACGTGAAATGCAAAACGACGAAGAATCTAAAATGATATGTTGAGTTGAAATGAGTTTTTCAACTTTATTTTAAACAAATGTTGAAAGTCTGACTTTATTATGCCGAGAAGTTATACTACTTGTATCTCTAAGAGAGGGGAGGAGGGTCGTGGGTAAGTGTTGGAAAATTTTTAGGGGGTTCCGACGCAACGTTAAGAGGTGAGAGAGGTGAGAGGTTATAAGGGGTGAGAATTGTGCAAAACCGCAAGTCTATAGCCCTACTTTTTTAGGGATTGTCCCTTTATGCTCGATTTGAAGGCGACAACTTTTTCTGTAAAAAATTAAATGGCGGCGGCAATTTTCAAACGTCACATGGCGCTTGTGATACTTAGGCTGCAACATGACGATACAACTTGTCCCTTCGAAGTTTCACCTGAAAAAACGATTCATGGAGTAAAATTTACTAAAATTAACTCTAACAAAATCTCAACGTTTCTATTTTGCACTGTTACAAAATTGAAACAACTTAAAGTGGGCCTAAATGTATAAGACCGAAAAGAAACCATAAAGGAACGGGGCGTATCGCAACCAAATCACCAGTGCAATATATTCTGCCTGGAAACATGAGAAAAAATTGAAGAGAGAAAAAAAGCATCAAGCTTCACCGCTGTTATTGCGAGACTAACAATGCTACAAAAATAAGTTAGGTCTCGGGCCGATTGATTTTAAAAACGCTTTTTACGAAAAATCTGAATTTCTGGCTCACAAGAAAAATCAGAGTCTGATTGAGTCAAATCATCATTTACATCGGTCACGTACGTCAAGCTTCTTAAATTATCGAGCAGTCGTTTCCTTCCCCACCCTGGGTTTTCTTTAAAGTGCATGTAAACAACATGCAACAGCTGAGCAGAAGTGCCAATTTTGAGGTTGCCTTACACTGAAAAAAGTAGCTTGGATCAAGAATGATAATTCTTGAATTTGCCGCCAAGAATTTTTTTTTTTATCTTGCTTTAAGCTGACTTTTTCTTGATTCAAGAAAAATAATGCTTGGGTTAAGCAGAAAAGTAGCTTATATTACCCAGCAAAATTCTTGATTTAAGAAGAAATACTTCTTGGTGGCAAATTTAAGATTCTTTTTTTTCAGTGATATTTATATATCCCAGAGCTTGTTGCGGTGAAATAATGACAAAATTGCAACATCCTCACAATACTAGATGAGCATGTGCCTTTGCTCCAAACGATCCCTCTCACAGGACCCCCGAACAAAACCGAAGAAGCCGCGGCATTATTGCCACTACTTATCCCAGATGCGGATCCAGCAAATTGGCAACACTGGATTTCCTCCATTAAAAGATATGCTAAATAATCGATTTTTGTTAAAACACCTGGCCCTCCAAGAATCGATTCATTTCCATAGGTTTAAATGGAGAGAAGACAATGTTGCCAATTTTCTGAATCCGCCGATGACTTATCCGCGGCCGCGTTGCAGTTAATAATTAAAATCAGGCCGGAGGCCTGGACAAACGGATCGGATGAACCAGGCAGGGCCCTTGACCGACACTTGTCGTCCCCTTCCCCCTCCCCCTCCCCGGCTGCGGCCACCTGTCCTGACCTTTACCGATCCGAGCTCGCAAACAAGTCCAAGGGCACGCGCCCCACCGCGCCCCTCCCCCGCCCCTCATCTTGCGCCGGGGGAGAAATCGTTAGCTGCAGCCCCACCTGTTGCATGCCCTCGCATTAACAGCCTCCTTTATTCTGCCTTACCGGGGCCGCTCGTAAAATGACGTCAGGTACTAAGGGTGAGGGGGGGGACTGCCTGACAAACTCTTTTGAAGGAAGGCGGGAGGAGGGGGGAGGAAATGACATGGATGGGGGGATTATGATAATTGGACGGACGTAATCGGAATCAGACTAACTACATCAGACGATGCCTATTGTTCTCTGGTGTTTTATTATTTAAACAGAAAACCAAGTAGCATTGAAGTCTCCGAATCGTTACTATACTATACATATTTCTCCTTTAATTATGGTAAAAACTTGAGCAAAAAGTCGAAAATGATGACTCGCAGTTCAACAGCATTCCTTTACATTCTTGTAGGCGCTAATATGCGTTTCAGGCCAACTTACCGACTGCACTGCGTTTGACGCAATGCGAGAAGTATTCATGCAGTCTTGTAGGCGCTGATATGGGCTGTTCACCGACCGCACTGTTTAGCGCAATGCGTGAGGTATTCCTACAGTCTTGCAGGCGCTAATATAAGTTTAACGCCGGCTGCACTGTTTGGCGCGATTATTCGAACTCCTGTTACAATAATCGCGGCATCGAAGAATATAACTTAAAAGGCCCATGTTGTATTTTGACGCCGCATAAGTATTTCAACGTTGCTTCGTTTCTCCCGATTGAATATATATATATATATATTTTTTTTTTCAAGAAAAGTTAGGCACCTCTTTATACCCTCGACCAATATTCAACCATATCGACTCATTTATCATGAGAGGGTAAGACATTGATGATTTGTCAACAACCTAACCTAAACTGGCTTAACATAATAATGCGTTTAATTACCAATTGTCTCCTGTTTTGCCAAACTTCTGCCTTATATTAACTTCATTTTAAAATTTGCGCATTCTCATAGCAGATGTCAAGGTTTCTATTCGGGCAATCCTTGTGCCTTTTTCACACAATCTTACATGTTTTCTTAGACCTTTCCTGGCTTACCGTATCTTTCAACGCTTGAAAATTTTTAAAAGATAACAATAACCTATATGCATCAAAAAAATAACTGGAAACACTAAGTAAGTAAACAAAAGTAGAAATTAAAGAGAAAATTAATTGAGAGCACGCACAGAGAATAATGACTTGCGATGGTCAGGAGAGAAAGTGGCATAAAAGCGGAATGGAAATCGCCAAAAAACCAGAGGGGAAAGTATTAGTGGAGTAAAAGAAGGGATTCACTACGCTGACTTCTTCAGGAAAAACGCAGAATCAACGTTCACATGTTGCCAACTTTTCCAGAGAATATTTTTTTTATATTTTTTAATAGAGTGGATTTGAAACCATGGGGAAATTATGGAGCACCACTTACGGTGATTTGACCCTAATTTACAAGACAAAATATCTCTAATGGTTTGCCACAATTTTTTGTGTAGATGCTTTTAATAAAATAGGATTTCTAAAGAATTTGTTGTCAAGAATGTATACCTTTTATTTTTTAAATACGAAGAGAATGTCTTTAATATAGGTGTTCCCGCAAATGAGGGAAGATTAAGTGTGGCCAGAGCGGGAAAATATCAATCAAGGAACACGTGAAAAATGTCAACTGTCATGGAAGGAACTTAATATATTATAAAGTGCGTAAAAGCTAACATTCTTTTTTGTCGTTTGTTACAGAATGCCCGCCTTCAGAAGACGGGATGGAGCGGTTCGCGTGTCCAACGCCCGACCGGATGGGTAGATATAGGTGTATAGACGATCATGTCCTTTGTGATGGATTTATAGACTGCCCAACGGGGGAAGATGAAGACCGGCAATCGTGTATGTTCTACAAAACGGTAAGTCGCCTTCAATTCTCCGTGTAGGCAGACCAGAGGCATCCTTGTTGGTTTGGTGGCCTATTCGATCCGTTGCGTAAACTTTTCATGCGTCATGTTACAAAACTCAATAGAGCTCAGTTCTGCCGTTCGAGACAAAAATGCTGCAACTCTATCCTAGGGTCTTGTCTGCATGAGCGTAGTTCCAGGAACTTCGGGCGAACTTGTTATAACTCAGCTATAACTTGTTCGAGAGTAAACACTAAGAAATGACCCGAGCTGTATGTAACAAGGACCTCAAGTTAATGTTCCAATGTAAGCTGCTTGAGCTTAACACTCTCCCTCCTTCAGCCTTGTACTGGTACCAATTAGAGCTCAAGAATTTTGACTTTAATAGAAATTTTGAAACATTTTGGCTTTGTTTTCCCCGCGAAATGGTGTGGACCCAGCATCATTTCACTACCATGTTATAACTTGTTCCTGGAACCCGAAGTTCATAAAACTAGTTCATCAAAACTGCGCTCGTGTGGACAGGGCCTTAGGTATTAGACATTTTTTTTCGACGACCCGTTTCATTACAAGAAAACAAACGAACATTCATCCTATTGTCGAAGTGACCTGTGATCTCACATTAGAAACAAGCGAAAAGTCCTAATACGTAGCTATTAGAGAGGCGGTCAGGGGGGCTCTAAAGTTATGACGTAAATTTAATTTAAAGTATATTTAAATTTTCATAAATTCCATTACGCAGTTCTTAAAATGTCATAGAAACATCTGAACGGGTCTTACTTCCTTTGTAAATTGCAACCACCTATGCTTACAAGGATAGTTTAATTTGCTCTTTGTCTTCCTTGTCTATTGCTTTGTCGATCAATGTTACAATCAGCCCATTGCTTTCAATAAGTATGACCATTGTTTGTATCCCGCAAATGAAAATAAAGAAAGGATAATTTAAGCCACAATGTGGACGCGGTGACTGAGATGAGACTGTGCTCATAAGCCGAAACCCAATGGGATGTTAGTGAGTGGATGGGTTCTACCCACAAAGGCAGTATGAGAGAAGAACGTTGAGCTCGTGGTAGTGCCTTAATAGATAGGCGTATTTGGGAGGGTCCCTTTGTGGAGGGATCCCTTCCGGTTGATGGCGTCCAATTAACGCTGTTCGGGACCAAATCCGCAGACTCGCGACCCACCGCCGTGATTGCGGCCCCGAATCGTCCCTTAAAACGAAGCCCGGAAACAAGCTTGCGAGTTGCACACATCCATTCCGCCGCTTTATAACCTATCTTCGCCGCACACTCTCCTCAAACACAATATATTGCAGATAAAGACAATACGATTTATAAGTAAAGACGATATACTTTTGAGACCCCGCATCAGAGACAATACTGCCGTAAGGGAAAACGCCGTATGAACATCCCAATGTTGCCGAATTTCCGTTTATAAAACATTCATTTTTAGGAGATTTATGAGTATTTTTCATTGAAATTTTCAGATGCTGTAGATTAAATGGAGAATTTGAATGGACATGTTTAATTGATTCATCTGAGAGTGCTTAAAGAGCTGATTTCACAGTATTTTTTATAATGTTTTTCTGATGTGGAAAATAGTATAAAAATGGATTTAAAAGTGAGAAAATGCATCGCCTAAAGAACGTCATCTGGCGGTATTTCCCATTTAATCATAGTATTTTAGCAGATTAGATCATTTTGTCAAATATCTTCTCCAATAATTGTTCAATTCATGAACCAAGGGTATCCTCGTGTTCAGTTCACTCAGTAGTTTCCCGTTTAAACACGAAATTCATCAAATTTCAGACACCTGCAAATTCTCCATTGCGAGATAAAATGTTTTAAAATTTGGGAGAAAAATGTCCAGAAGTTTCCTTGGAAATATTAATTTTATCAGAAGAAGTTTGGCAACTTCGGAAGGCTCATACAGCGTTTTTCTTTAGCATGGCAGAATAAAGTTTAGAGACCCTGAGCTGTTATGTTCAATCTTCTCCATAATATAGAAGTTACTTTCGAAAGTTAACTATGAGATTTCGCCTAATCATAACTTATTACCAGGAAGTTGAGCAAGCGACTCAGCAATTCTAACCCAATTTACAAAAAATCGCTTACCAAAATGCTCAATCAGTGCTCAATATTCAACAGTCATGATTAGGCGAGTTTTATTTGATTTTTTACTCAACAATTTGTTGCTCATTAATCACAATAAATATAAAAATAGCGTTGACCTTCAGACTAAACTTCTACCTCACACTATCATAAGTTATACGAGTAATTCATTATGGGCGTATTTCGATACGCGCGTAATACGTGTACTTCGTGATGCCCGTTATCTGCGTGTTTCTAAGGGAAGAGCAACGCGACGCAACGCACGGTGTATAAAGCGCCTTCATATACGAAGAATACCATACGAGCACATCAGAGCACGTTTAGTTGCTGGTAGCCCCTTTTGCCTCTGGGCTATTCGCGCGCTTGACTCGCAGAGATAACTATAAACGCTACCTTCACTAGTACATTCAGTGCGGTAAATCAAATTAATTCGAATGTTGTTTATGAGAAATAATACTAATTAACAATTTGTGACCTGCTTGCCAATCAATGCAAATCAATCATAATTGAGCGGAAAATAGCTTTGACCATCGACTTTAACTTTTGCCTCACTCGATTACATAGCTTAGTTTGCTAGTACGGGTTACCAAAAATATGGTTTTATCGTCTCATCCCGTGCTCTCACTCTTAGCAATGCGATCGGGTAAGGCAAAATTTAAGTCAACGCTAGGTCAACGCTATTTTCTACTATATGTACTTATCACATATGATATGAGGGCAAAGTTAAGGAAATAATTCGCCTACTGATGGCTAATGAAGGTTTTGGTAGGTATTCCTCTGGGCAGTTTTTTTTTTTTTTTTTTTTTTTTTTTTTTTTTTTTTTTTTTTCTTTAAAAATACGTCAAGTTTTCTCAAGTAGTACTTAGCTCAACTTTTTGGTTGTTTTTCGTTATTTGACCAATCTGAGGGTTAATTTCCGAGAGTAAACTGGTATTTCCGAACCTTTTTTAAATAAGTACCAATTAGGGCCTCGGGGAAAGGTAAGTTGAGTCCCAAACGATCTTTTGAGGGTAAGTTGAGTCCCGTCAATTAATCACCCATAGGTAAATTGAGTCCCGTCAATTAATCCCCCTTAGGTAAATTGAGTCCCGCTGTATTAGCGTTGGTGAACAGTGAATAGTAGTAGAAATAAATAAAAATACGAAGGCATCGTCAACATCTCCTTCACTTAAAAATGGCAAGCCGAAGAAATATTTTAAATAATTGCTGAGTTCAGATCGAGAGTCTTTATACACGGTCGCTAAGCCGCACTTTTGTATGTGGCGCCACCAACTCTTCCCAAGATGAAAGCGACATCCCTTAAGTCTAACATTCGGCCATACTCAACGAGCTGCTTTGTGTATACATTCTTCGAAGTCCAAAAAAACTTCTCTCGGTTGGAACTTTAAACCTAAATATTCACAGCGCTTGACGATAAACCGAAGTGCTGTTGCGTACGTCTCAGTTTTTTTGTCAGGCAATAACAAGAAAACCAATGGAACAAATCGACCTTTGTAGTAACCATGAATCGTGAATACATGCAGATAAAATTTAAGCTTTTTACAATCACTTAACTTCACAAAACATTTACTTCATTTCTTGCCTCTCACGCACACTCTGAATGACTCTCCCACCCTCACACATACAGTGATAATGCTACCGGGACTCAATTTACGTACCACCAATTAGGAGTCGGGACTCAATTTACCTTCTCCCCTAATGACCTCAATGCATTGGGACTCAACTTACATTCGTCCAGGGCCTCAAATATCGCTAAAAATTTGAAAAAAGTTTTCTTACGGCCAAAATCTCGGGGCTGATACCCTTAAGATTTCCCAGAGCCGGTACAGGATATATGCAGAATTAGTTCCGCGAACTGGGGGTTCCAGGAACGGTGAGTTACAACAAGTTCCTGGAACAATTTCGCCCGAAGCTCCTCGTGTGGACAAGGCCTTTTGTGTCTGTGAAAAATTTATTTTTGAAAATCGGGATTTCGGCCAGATTTCGGAATTGAAAATCACAGTGCGCGCCATGGATGAGCAGCGAGTAGATCGTAGATCGTCGTCCTTAAATATTTTCTTAGACCTTTCGCGGAACTCTGGATCACCGTACCTTTTAACGTTTCACGGAGGAAAAGATCTGTCATTTTAACAGTCACTTTGAATGTTAAATTTGTTTGACGTTTCTCTGTTCTTTTAGTTGTCGTGACTGCTAATTGAACGTTTTAAGTATGTTGAAACAAAAGTGTGCAAATCTGTTAACTCAACATCTTATTGATGCTTTTGAAATAACATTCTGTATGTTATTCCATCATCGCATGACTGAAATCTGGGATTCAATCTGGATCGAATTTGAAAATCGGGATTTCGGCCAGATTTCGGGATTGAAAATCACATTGCGCGCCATGGATAAGCAGCGGGTAGATCGTCGGTTAATTACATTCGCTAGGGTGGAATGTAGTTGTNGGGGGGGGGGGGGGGGGTTGTCGACTGTACTTGGCAAAACCGACGCGTGGTGACGGTGGAATTAAATTTCTCTCTTTGGAGTGCGGTGGCGGGTGGAGCTCTTCTTTGAGCAGCGCCCGATTCGAGTGAGACTTCTTGTCGGCGAGCTCTTCTAGTCCTCCACTACTTGTCCCTTTTTCCCTCCGTTTTTCCGCCCTTTAACGGAATTTAAAGGCCCCACGCCCTATAATACAAACTCCAGTGCCTTTCAATTAATCCTAGTAAACCCGAGCCTTGTTTTCTGCGAGGACTCCCACGCAAGGCATCCCTGAAGAATTCGATTCGGACGTCACCAAGCAGTCTGGAACTGTCTCTGTTGCTAGTCTTGAATAAAAATAAAGTAAAACTACGCGCAACAGCTTATAACAGGTAACATAGAGAGTGTTTTAAAAGAAAGTTTCCATCTGGAATGTCTTTTATAAGTATCGAACAACCCCATTCGAATTCGTTCAAAAGATATTCGAGGTGGTTACTTTCTTTTGAAACACCCTGTATGTTTCATAGAACCCCGTGCGAAATTAGAGAGCGCAAAGGCGCGAGTGCTGTCCAAAAACAATGAACGCTCAAGAAAAATACAGGACTAACATTTATTGAAGGAGTGCTCACATCTCATATCGCCTTATCCCAGATTAAGGGATGTAGCTTCATACCAAGGTTGCACAATTGACTCGAGCTACAGAGAAAATATTACAGTGTAATTTCGGTCCAAAATAAACAGGGTTATTCAAAAGTCACCCACCACCTGCCGCGGCCATAACTTCAGTTCTAATTGCAAATAGGAATATATATCTAATAAGAAACCCTAAAAAAGAATCTTAAATTTGCCGCCTAGCAGTATTTTTTCTTGAATCAAGAATTTTGCTGCTTAATATAAACTAATTTTTCTCTTTATCCAAGCATTATTTTTCTTGTGTCAAGAAAAATTCAGCTTGAATCAAGATGAAACAAATTCTTGGCGGCAAATTCAAGAATGAACATGCTTCAGCCAAGTACCTTTTTTTCAGTGAATATTTTGTCATAAGTCAGTTGGGAACTCTAGATTGTATACACGGCGTTTTTGTGAGCACGGCAGAAACCCATTAAGGATTGAATTTAGGATTCATTGTAAAACAAACACATTGGATCTAGAGTCCAGACTCTCGAAAACATCCAAAAGAAAAAATACTCTAGATTCAATCGGATTTTTGCTTACATCAAGAACCAAGCCTCTTAATTTGAGCGGATTTCCTTTTGATTTAAGCAAAAATGGACGTATTTCTACCAAACAGACCTATGTGCAGATGAGAAATATGGGGTGTGCTCGTTGAAGCTGCATAAGAAGCAATGTGGTCAGTGGGCGTGATTCCTTTTGAAGAATTGGAAAAGCGGGATATTGCATTCTATCAAAGAGACCTATGTGCAACTGAATGCGGAACTCATGAGCCGCGGGCATAGCAAGAGAGCCTTGTGGACAGGGCTCATGAGTTACAGCGCCCCGACGACGAGCTCCCCCTCGCGCGTGGTCTCGATCATTGCCGCTGACGTCACTGGCGCTTTATTATTCTCATTCACTCTTACGGCCAGGGAACTAACGAGCACACCCCATATTTCTCACCTCCACATAGGTCTGTTTGGTAGAAATACGTCCAAATCTGATTGAATCAAGAGTATTTCTTCTGGTCAATGTTTTCAAGAGTCTGGACTCTAGATCCAATGGACGTATTTATGCGAAAAGGAGATATGTGGAAGTGGAAAGATGGGGTGTGCTCGTTAGTTGGGTCATAAGAAACAATGTAAAAGTGGATATAGCTCCTTTTGAGAAAATTGAGAAGCGGGATTTGACATTAAATCAAAAGGAGCTAAACGCCAAAATATGCTAACTCATGAGCCGCGGGCATGGCAAGAGAGCGTCGTGGACAGGGCTCACGAGTTACAGCGCCCCGACGACCATCTCCCCGTCGTTAGAGTGCGCACTCATTGCCGCTGACGTCACTGGCGCACAATATTCCCCATTCATTCTTATGGCCCGACCACTAACGAGCACACCCCATCTTTCCACTTCCACATATCTCCTTTTCGCATAAATACGTCCCAATGTGTTTTTTTTTTTCCAGTGTTACGTGGATTTTCCGAGACTGAGTTTGGTGTGCTTGATTTGTTTCAGACGAAAGCTCATTTGGACGTACTAGCGGACGCCCTCCTTCGCTGGGCGAGAGGACGCTAAGAAGGGCCGGAGCCGAGACCCCAGCTGGAACGAGCAGAGTGCACCGAGGACGAGACGCCAACAGGCAAATTCATCACCAGAATCTCAAAGTTATTTTTATCAAATATAGTCAAGTATCATTTCCGACGCGACGGTGCGCTGGTGAGTTTGACGCGGGGCGGCACTCTGACTCCAACAGACGCCATTAGTGTTACGTCACAGAAAAGCCATCCACTCTCATCGGTAGCATTGAGAGATCCCATTAGCATTGATACTCTTCGTATCCGATTCCGTGTAATGGAGAATCCTTTTGATGACGTCACCACTAATGGCGTCTCTAGACGCCCGAGGAGACGCGCGCCGAACATGTTCGTCGAACGTGACGATAGTTAAACAAATGGCAATCAGAAAAAAAAACCCTAAATAATTTATTCATGATTTATCTCTCGCATTGTGTTTGTTTCTGATTTTTTTTTTTTCGTTTTGTTTCCATTCAAACTGTCATTAAGCACATAAGATTTGTGATTTTACAGAATGAAGCTCATTAGCGATCGCGGTCCCCCGCTTTTTAGTGGGGGTGCGTTTTTTTTTTAAAAAAAAATCGCCGTGGAGGAATTCAATCAATTTCTGTCAGTCAATTGTTGGCTTTAATTTTCTTTTTTCCCGAATATCATAGTGATTAACGTTTGTAATATCAGGAAATGTATTCGTGATATTTTCGTTGAGGTTTCGCTCGAAAGAGAAAGAAAAACCCTTCGAGTCTATCAACATAATTCCGGGCTCTAAACTCAATCAGAAATTTCACCTTGAATCCAATCAATTTTAACTTTCATTTTAACCTCGATTATTACCTGTATTTTTACCCTGGTTGGTTAGTTAGTTAGTTGAGTGGGTAAGATTTAACCTCAACGCATTGAGAAAAAGTGGACTTTTCTTCGAAAGGAAATCGTTTCTTCCAGATTTTCTCCTTGAGGGATGCAAGAAATTACTTCTGTGGTTCAAGAAGCGATTTATGCCGTCACATTTATTTTTAGTTGTGTCAGAAAATATTTAACACGAAGTTAGCTGGGCCTTTTATCAGGAACAAATGTAAACTTTTTTGATCACGACTGTAATTTTACCTGACATGATAGGCCCCTTTTTCATTCATACAACATATGTTTTCGTTAGCGCAATAGAAACTACTGAGGCAACTGGTTTCTTACCAGTAGAGAATATGATTTTTCTCACTATAGTTGCCTAAAGCTTGTCGCAATGTTTCACACGCGAAGGGTAGTCTTTTGACAACATTATATACCTCAAGTATGCTTGCGGCAATACTGTTGGTTAAAAAAAAACATTGACCCATTATTGGGCATTGGAGTATTATCCATACATCTGAACAGCACCCATGCACACCTGACTTCGTGGTAATATTAATCAAAGCTTTATACTTAAATCAATACTAAAAGGACACATGCGCTGTACGTGATCAAGTTTTACCTTCGAGCCTATATAAATTAATATGACATTACAAAATCGGCCATAAATTATTGCCGTTTGAAAATTGATACAATGCTATGAATCAAGGACGGATTTTAAGTTGTACAATTAATGATGTGATCTCATGAAATGTTAATGGTGAGAAAGGAACCGTAGAGCAACTTCTAACTTTCCAACCTTGTATCGATCTTAAATTTGTGACTCAGTGTATTAATAAAGATGGCAGACTTCCTTTCACCTTCTGATAGTTGACTGATAGAAACATGATGATATGCTCTGTATCGGATGGTTATTAAACGAAAAACTCTGTTAAGTTTAGAATATGCAAACTTTTCATCTGTCTGTCTTAATCTACTCAGTTTTAAATTCATCAATTAATTGTTATTTATACCTGAGAAGGTGAAGAAACAAAATATTTGTCGAGAAGGCTAACCAGTGACGGTTTTCATTTATTCACAAATTTACTTCTAATATGTAGTTTAACAATTGTCTCTAAACACACTAAATAGGTAAAATCCTTGAATTTGATAAATTCAAAAGTGTTACGTCTTTGTCCCCTGAAATTTTGAAAAATTATCGGTCCATCGTGCCATGCAATCCATTTAAAAACTTCTTTTTATTCAATACATGACTAAAATTGTAGAATATTAATTGTTTATACGTCATAATAGAGGAATTAAGTTAAGGGCAATATCTTCATCACACGTGGAAGTCTCTGCAAAATATGGCCACTTTGTGACGGCGTTTTTACTCTGGAACTTGGTCAAACAGTCATTACAGCTCACCTATCATACCGTTTTACAGTACTGATCAATAGTCAATTCAAAATCAACTTTTGTTTTGTAATATGTTACTTTTCGTTGTTAATACCTCCTAAGTTCCGAAGAATAAAAAATAAATAATAATTAAGGTATTTTGGAATTGGACGTATTAATGCTAAAATGATGAATTTTGCACGCAACCCCTATGTGTCTATACGCATATTTCCTTTTATCATAAATACATTCAACTTTTTAGTAGCAACTAAAGAGTTTGTTGCCTCACTGGAGAGTCATCTTGATATTAAAGACGGGGCAAATTGGTTGAATTCCTTCGCTCAAGCGCTCGTTTCAATCTAGATTTTTTGGATTTGACTTGTGAATTAAAATTAATTCAATATCGCACAAAGACTGAATAACTACCTTTAATTTTGATTATGATGAAAAGTCGGTTTATGTTATAAATCCGCCAAAACTACTTAGAATGCGACTAAGAACGAAAGTATGTAAATGTTTTATGAATTATATTTGATAGATAGTTTTTATTTAATTAATTATGTGGGCAGAAATTATTGTTCCTCTTCTCTTTTTTCTTTGTTAAAAGTCTTTAATGTTTCATAAATCAAGAGAGTGACCTTTATCTATTTTCTGGCATACAACTTAAAACAGCTTAAAACTCAAAGTATGAATTATGCATACGAATTTCAAGGGAATTGCATTAATGAGCAATTTCTTTTTCTTTCTCTTTTTTTGCAAAAAAATTGAAATTTCTTTAAAGAAAGGTGAAAATCACACAGGAACAGTTACAATCTTTTAATATCACTGATGAAAACTATATATTTTGATGTTTCTGTGTACTTTTCTCGCACGTAAAAAGTTCTATGGACTCGACTCGAGAGACACCTTTACGATATCGTATCATACGACTAAAAGAAACAGTATCTCAATTGCAGCTTATGGGGTGTTTCATTTTAACTTTGTTTTAAATTTTGATGGAAAATCAACCAATTTTATTGCTTGAAATTTTTGCCAAAATATTCTCCGCGCCAGGGAGAAAAATCGGGCAACTTTTAAAAAAGTAACGATGGTTAGTTTTCTTTTTGAAAAATAAAATACGCAGAAATTGTACAACATTCCAGCTAGGACGAGGTGCAGAGTTTTAAGTTCCATAATCGATAAATGACCTGGAGGAGGTAGGTCCGAGAATTCAAGTGACGTATTTCGATAAACTATTTTCGTTTCTGATTACATTCGACTGAATTAAAACCTATGTTTTGTCCCTGTTAATACGGCAGAAGTCAGGGCGATCGAAATTCATGAAAATAGACGTCACCATTATGGACTATAATTCAACGTATCTAAAAGGCATAATCTGCTATTGCTTGGAAGAAATACAGAAGAAGTACAAAAATGGGGATGACATGAAATTTTGACGAGTCTCTACTTAAACTTTTGATAGTTATTTCTTTCCAAAATTACTTGCATGCTCCAGCGTTTAATATAGTTCCAACAAGTGTCACGAAGATGCAGTACGTCACAAATTTTCTTTCCTCATTTGATTGCCTCTTTTTGTTCTCATCATATTTCCTTTTACGTGACAACGTTGTTTCAATTTCCTAAATGAACGTTGACTATTGTTTCTGACTAATTTTTTATAATTGTTCATACATCTATCGTCTCTGATTTACATTACCAACCGTCCGGCAATATATTCAAACTATTTCGAAATGAGACCTGAGTCATTTTCTGTGAAGATTGAACTATGAACTGTCTAACCTTGTGAATGCTTTATGCTTATGCTGACATTATGTTCTTCCAAGATCTTGGAAGAACATAATGTAATCAGGCTATCGAGGATAATGAACGATTCTGTTTTTTTAAGTAAAGGTATGTGATAGGAATTTTTCTGAGCGAAGTTCCAAAGAATGACGATGGGCTAAGCGTCTTGGATATATTGACTTTTAATCTTGCTAAAAATTCCAGAGTTCTTACAATTAGTCTAAATGATCCGGAATTCTTTTTGGAATTTTTTGGCATTCAGGACGGAACGACTGTGCGGGACGATAACAACGGGCGGAATTCCGATTATTTTTATCACTCCTCGTCTAGAGACATTTTACGAATCGAGTTCCCAAAATGGCTGTCCGTTTATTATATTCTTCGAATGCCACGCCAGCAATGTCCGAGGGATAGTTATTTCAAACACACTTCAAGTGATAGTTACTTCAAGGAATACAGTTGCATTATCACCAAACCCAGCCGAAGGAAACCCGCTCCGTAAATTGCGCCTGGTTGCTTGAGAATGCAACCATTTTGGCTTGGTGGGTGTTAATGTTACAAATTAGGAAGAGAGCAGGCAGGGTAGGGATTTTTCTTGTTTTGGTATCGGTTGCTCTCATACCTAAAGCATTTCTCGTGAGCTTACAGGACGTAATGAATCATATGAGATTACAAGTCTAATGTGTAAGGTTCACTTTTAAAGACATTTTGCACCATTGGCTGTTGACAAACTTTTGGAATTACTTCCAAGTATTCATTGCTTGAATGTTCAATATCAATACCTCTTGCACTAAAGTGTGATGTGATTTTTAGAGATTTTTATGAACAAATATTGAAGGGTAAAAAATTTTGGGGAGATCGGTAGGCCGTGGAACTGATCCCAAAATTGGCATGGGCATGGCAATTTGTACATATCCAACAAGTTTTAATTGTGAGGCTCAAATCGTAAATTTTTAATGCGAGATTATGAAGTGAAAAATCTCTGAAATTTGTGAGAGCAGACTTTTAGCACACAATTTTTCGCATTTGTTTTATGGTTTTCAGTGGAAGAGAAGGAGAGGATTAGACCTTATGGCCACTCGGCATATTTCTCCCTGAAATTCTCTTTTGACTTTAAATCTAATTATCACGGTGTCGATAGCTTTTCCCCATCCAATTCGTCTGAAGCTTCAGTATCTTCAAAGAGACCTTCCTCTCTTGAGGGGAACTTTTCATCAGTAAGTCGCCTCAAGAAACGGGAGAGTAAATTAGATTCAGATGAACCGGTTGCATCATTTATTACGCCAATAATCTTCCCCAGACCTAAGTCACAAACAAGTATCGAATATTTGATAAGAATCGATATACTCCCATCGGAGGCATAGCTTCATAGCTGAAATCCAATCAGACACAATCGATTGCTCCAAGATCCATCATCAGTGGGTTCATCATGATCGATTATTCAGCATGAAATGACTTTGGTCAATACAGCCCTAATTTGCTACATTATTTAACGCCACTCGGCAGGTTATCATCCATGAGGGCTCAGGAATCTAACGGCAGTTTCCAGTATCAATCAGCGAGTAGAGAAATTATAGCGTAAGCTCGATAGAAATAGGCATAATATACTTTTAATGATGCTCGTCCTCTGAACGGCTTGAAGGAAGAGGAAAAAACAATAATTCTATTACCATGACGAAGAGGAATGAGAGCCAATAAGAAAAGGGACGAGTTTTGAAGGGGAAAAACGGAAGCCACTTCATGAAGAACATCTTAGTTGCGATAGAAAAAAAAACGCACCGGTGTCATTCGGATGCGATGGAGATCACTAACACGCGGAATGTCCTTTCCCTTCCGGGATGATTGGCGAAGGGAGTGGGCGGCAGTGGCGTGGCATGCTTTGCGATCCATCGATATTTCCCCATTTGAAGCTGTGGTAAATAATCGATTATTAAGGTGTTCGCTGCGAACACCCTGTTTATCGATACTTTTCCATAGGTTTAAATGGCAGATCAATCGATATATCGCACAGCACGCCACGCCACTGGTGGGCGGCCTCCAGGGTCTCCGCCTTTACAAACCGAAGAAAACTCGGGAAATGCTATTTCGATACGAAGCTTCGAATGGAAGGTACTTAAAGTAATGCCACCGTCTTTACGTCAGGGTTTTGCCACGGCATCCATTTATGCTAAAAATGTCTGAATTGTAAAAATGAATTTCAAGTTCACCTTAATCAATACGAAAAACGAAAAAATTAGAGGTCACGGAGCTTACAGGAGTGACAAAGAATTGGATTACATTTTGCAAAAGGGAACCAAGAACATTCCGATGCTGCTAGGATTGTGTAACTTACACTCTTCGCGAATAATTACTGAAATCATGCAAAAAAATTCAATTTACAAAGGTAACTTTTGAATGGAATTCATAGTTTATTGGGTTTAAAGATAAAACTTGTTTGGTTGATCAGTTTATATTTGCAAGGTCAAAAAAGTTGCACAATCCAAAAAAGCAAAAGTTCCAAATCCAAAGTTCCAAAGTTCCAATCCAAAGTTGCAAAAGTTGCTCCTGGTTCCTTTTTGCGAAATGCAATCCAATTCTAGAGAAGCAAAAATAGAAGAAAAATATTATCCCAGTTAGGATTATCCTACTTTCGTCCGAAGAAAGGAGGCCGTAGCTCCTTTACAATTTTTTAAATTTTTCCTCACACAAAGGTTTTATCTCGAGGAACCCTGCCATTAACCATCCTCCATACTTTCAGGCTGATTTTGTGATCCTATATATTGGACACGCATACTGAGAAAATGTAATGGAGAATAAAGAATCAAGTTGCCTTGCTGTAAAGAGTTTTATTTGGAAATAACAGACAAATCTGGATTGAACCATGTGTGTTTCAGATATTTTTTCGTTTTTTCTTCCGAATGTTCAGAATGACCCGTGAAAAATTTCTCGGCGTTCTTGGAGGTTTATGTTAGGCTAAGGAAGAATAGGAAGGAAGGAAGAATTAGGCTAGTGCTGAGGAGAAATTTCAATTGGCATGCATAGGCAAATATAGGCCTGCAAAGTAGGACAGATCGTGACAGTTAAAATGAAAAAGTAAAACATATGAAATCTCTGGGAAATGAATCATCGATTAAAAAGGACTAAAGTTATAGCGCCTTCAAACTATACCATAGGCAACCCGGACGTCTCTTCAGAGAGTATAGTAGCATGCAGACGTTTTCAATCAATTAAAAAATCCCTTGATTATGAATATATTGCCGGACGCGAATGAATCTATCAACACATACTTACTTTATTACTGCACAGTCTGTTTCACCTTACATGTTTTCAAGCTATCGAACTGTATTTCATTGATGTCTGTTATCTATATTTTATTTTTAATGTTTTTAAATTCAGTAAGTGTGAAAGGAGAAATTTTGCAATTTACCATCATCGTATCAGCTGTGAGTGCTCGCTTTATTATTTTGCCTTGCATTTTCGATAGAAGTAATCAAACAAGCTGTTTCGGTTAGAATGAGTTTCACCACGTGTTTTATTTCATCATATCTTTAATTATTTTAAGGAAATCTACGCCATGAGGCAAAATTATAGATGGTCAAGTGGACGGAAGCTTTAAGAAACTACCAACGTTACCAATCGCTGTCAGTTATTTCTATTCTTGAGCCTCTAAAAGCCGAGTTATAGCACCCACATAAGAAGTACTTCCAAAGCCAATTTTCGTACATCACCGACACCATTATTCCTCAATTTTAAGAAATGTTAAAAAATCGATTCTGGTAGCCTATTTCTATTGATATCGATTGTTTCATTTTTTAAAATGGTCAAAAATCAGTGTTGCCACCATTAGGCTGAAAATCAACAAGAGACTGGCACAGCTACTTGGCCAATGGAATGCTTAAAGAAAGGAAAAACTTGCAACAATAGCTATACCCAACAGAAATTATATGTTCTGAGGAATACGAACATATAATGGGGAAGTGACTTATTTTTGGCATGTTGTGCCGTGCATTGCCTTCTCAGCTCATGCGTTTATAAGCTTACCGATGGTTTGAGAACAGATTATTTTTACATTTTTTCCTACATGAACATACCATTGTCGAGATTACACCTTCAAAAATGATCCCACTCCTTCCATTTTTACATTATAATATCTTCAATCTTTAACAATGATTATTTAGTTTGTCCAGGTGAGTGCATATGTGTGTTAATTCTACAATAAAAAATAAAACATTTTTTAAAAAAATAAATGAAAAAGGCATCATATTCTGCTACTGACGAATGCGTTACCTCGGTTTCTCCGAGGTAACGCATGAATGAATATTGATATCACTACACAATGAAATACCGAGCTCTCAACTGGAGTGTAATTGACTCCCCACCAAAGTTGTGCGCACACCACACTTACTCCTCATTCGTAGTACTATCAACACTCAGAGAAGTCTGTTTTACTCCTCTCTCCGGGAAATGAAAAATATCTCTCATTCAATTGGATTACCATTTTTAGCAGTGAGTGTGCCTATGGAACGCCAAGATGGCATCGATTTCCTCTGTTTTGTTACCCTCTATTCATCTGAATAGAAGATGCTTCTAGCTGGTAATGAACATAACCAGACATGGGACGAATTAGTCTAAAGAATTACAGAGTTGCATTTACAGTTAAATCCTCAGTAAATGCTGAGAATTCAAAAATTTTTGGATGAAAAATCCAGGAATGGAGTCAATTTTTTGTATGACAAGGCAGTATCTTAGGTTCTTTTAATTGGTGGCCATTTCGAATCTGCTCCATAATTTTGTTTACTTTTCAGAGAAAGCTTGTGCTTTGCCTTGACTCTAATTGAACCCTCTTTTAGCCACAATCTTGAATTTTCGTACCTGAGATTCCTGCTTACATTTTGAGAATTTTCCCTCTGAATAGGCCTAATTTACCTCAACTACGATTCTGCATCTCCTTATACACGAGTTCCGCTAACTTGTCCCGAGGAGTTATCTTCCTAAAGGCTCCGTTTGCCTTGAAATCCTGTAAATGTATCTTTTAGCCGTCATCATGCGACGGCATACCCTCGAGTCCTGAATTTATTTGTAAATTTTCCTCTTAATTCGATACAAATTGATTATCTTGATAGTTTATCTCGGTCATAGTCCAGTCACTCCTAACCCAAAACTTATATTTTAAATGATTGTAAAAAGAATTAACAAAACAGGA